GGGGGGGGGGGGGGGGGGCAGGGGGTTGAGTGAACAGAATATTGTATCACAACAAATCTCATTACTCGAGCTATTACTCGAAAAGACTGTTTTTAGCACTCTTTTAGGTCAAAATTTCCGAAAATTCGTCACTAATTTTCCGTGAAAATTCGTCAATTTTCTTTCTTCACATTGACAACGTTTAAGGTTTCAGCCGCTTTAACTGTTTACTTATAGGGTCTATTTATTAGCTTTCAATTCAAATGACAAATTAGACAATATACGACATCAATGTAACTGCAAATATGGATTACAGAATATTTTGTTGCAGCGAAGGACTGAATAGTTCGCTACATTTTTGAATAGTTCGCTACATTTGTCAATTAAAATACGCGTACGATTATCAATGGTGCTTTAAAAGTGACGCCATATTTACAGCTTCAGACATAATTTTCTCTTTGGCGTACCATCTAAAATCTCTTCATTTTAGCATTATTTTACAGATAAAGCACTAAACATACTTTTCAAGTTCGCCGTTTGCCGATTGAGAAACATCGAAAAGACAAAAATAAAATTTTGAAAGCAATTATAACCGCAAGTGTAACCATGTATATTATACTTATTAGTTTTGAGAGCGTGCAGTAACGTAACAATTCAGAAAAATCTCCTCTTAAAACATAAAGAACTAAGAATTCGCAGATTAACAAAATAGCCGATAAATTTTAACATATCTCTACATATATATATATTTCATTTATTATTTAGTGCAGTTTACAACTATATAGGACAGCACTGGTATCTGATACAGATGAATTCTTCTGTTTGTCTTTAGTGTTTTTTACTTCCACTACAGGGACCTACAAGAAAGATGTGAAAGCACGCGAATTATGATTTGGATTTATATTTTGTCAATATCATTGGCATTGCATGCGATACAAATATTGGGGTAATTAGAACGGGGATGGGGGGCTAAATTAATATAGAAGGCTGGAAGATTTAAAAAATATTAATTTACAGTATCATCATTATTTATTTATTTATTAATAACAACCATAGACAAGTATACAGGGCCTTTTTTAAGGATTTTCCCTTGGGGGGGGGGGGATTTTTTGAAAAGGGAC